TTCTTTGAATTGAGAACCTTGATATTTTCCCAAAAACTGGTTGTCGTATCACAAGATGAATATGGTTGAATCCTCCAATGAATTATGTCTTGGATCTCTTGAACACAGATGAGTAGATATTGTATAATGAAAGAATAGTACCCTATATCTCACATCCCAGACTTTTCTTTTTACACTTGGGGTAAATAAGTGTCCTGGGCCGTACAAAATTCTCCAAAATGCAATTTCAGAGTTGGTCACGTAACACTGTCGCTCAAGCAAGAAGAGAGCGATGACTTCTTCGCTCGAGTGACGCTTGGGCGAACAGTGGGCAACAATGGTTCCTGCTTCATCCGTTTGAGCAACAACTTGGCGAGCAGCTAACGAAAATTCGACCAGTCTTCTACCTTGTTCCAAACTCAACCCTTGCCTAAACCATCTATACAAATTGTAACCCAAGTCCCTGACTTTTACAATGTGTTCAATTAAGTCCCTTTTGTTCACAGAATCGCCAATTACAATATAAAACCTAATAAGGGATAACACACTGTAATTTTTATTTAGCAATAATGTTTGTTGATGCATAAATTGAAGAACCAATCGATTTCATATCTTTGGTGCAACAAGTAATTTTGTTCATTGGGTAAACAATTTAATTTGTTTTCTAGCAGATTTTGACTAACTAAATCTAAACTCGATCATTTCTAAATGGGTTGGTTCAGTTCAAAATTGAAACGATGATGGAACCGCATGGATCTATACCAACGGTTTCTAAACAATGAATTTAGGTTTGCTTTTGCGGTTTAGCATTCTTTTTCTCTCCTCTATCTTTTACGATATGTTGGCTTATTTCAGACTTGTTTGTACATAATTGTGTCGGATGAAAGTTGCTTGCTTCGACTTGAAAGCATGGCCATTTTATTGTTGGAGGTGAAAAGTTGAATTAGAGAAGAGAAATAGACTTGAGTTTTGAATTGAAAGTACTAGCATGAAATTGTAGAAATATTTAAAATATTAAATTTTAGTATTAACATTTTTTTGCAATATTTTAAGAAAATTAAGAACAAGATTGCAAAAATGAGTTGACCTTGTTGAATTTGCTTGGTTCCATTTCTCTTTCGTAAAATGATGAAATATTTTTTCGCTAGCCACATTTATTTTGTTTGAAGCAAGTATAGATTCGAGGTCGAATCCTTTCGAAGAGGGAGGGAATGATGTCATCCAAAAAATGAAGGCAAGTATGAGTAAGGATCCGTTGATCGTTGAAGAGGGGTCAATGACTAGATCACGAAAAAAGCAGTTAAAGAAGAGACGAAATTATTTGTGCAAGCTACAATAGACTAAACATTGATCTTGGCAAGTAAAGGAGTAAGTTTCATGGTTGGCTGGAAAGAGGAATCGCTATGGATCAACTTGATTCAAGTCACAAACGAAGGAGTTGCGAAACTACACTATGCAACCACATAGTGTAATGGGGTATGCAGTTGTAAATCTGCATGCAGAAACTTTTAGAAAGGAACTAAGGTGATCTATGCGACCACAAAGGATAGAAATATGCGGCTGCATAATACATTCCGGGCACGATATTTTTCCAATTTTGTGAGATCTTTTATTTAAGTTAAAACTCTAGTTTTATGGTAATTTTTAGTATGTTTAGAACTTAATTCCGTTTTTGCTAGGATTTTATGAATTTCCTATAAATAGGACTCATCATTTTACATTGTAAACAACTTTCATTCATTCAATAAGAGAGATTATTTTTGAGTAATATTTCTTTTAATTCATTGTTCTTCATTGAACTAATTTTACAAACTTATCAAAAATTATTTTTTGTGACCTTTCAGACAATCCGAGTGAGATTCTTTAATTTTGTGATCACAGGGTCAACATATTGTTAGCGATTCTGTTGGTTCTTTGGTTCAATATTTTTGAATCAAACTTTAAACTCTAATTTCTTGATTTGTTTGAGTTTGATTTTCAGAGCTACTATTGCTACGTGGGTTCACATTATAAAAAAAAAAACACAATTGGTGAAAGCTATGAAATAAATTAGTTATTTTGACAAGTTACTTTAAAAATGACCTTTTTATTTAAAGTTATGACAGAAAGATTAACTTGCCTATATATATGAGAAAAATAGGATATATAGTCCCTGTATGAGTCATAATTTCCAAAAATTTACATTTTTTTTTTCAAAATCACAAACATTATTTCGATAAAATAATTTGCTCGTAAATCTAAAACATGTCCCTACTTTTTAACCACATTTTCAAACATTCACCATTACAAAACTCATTTATTTACACAAAATGGAGCTTAAACATAGCCATTATTTTTTCTAAGCTGTAATATGAGTGTTGGACATGTTTTTTGTTCTGGAATGTTATAATCCGAGATTATGAAAATATTCTCATTTTCGTGGCTCAAACGAGAAAATTTGATTTGGAGTTGAGATTGTTTTTCACTGTTTATCAAATGAAGAGATTAACCCAAAGAAATTGTATTTTATGCGAAAATGACTTCTAAATTTCTTTGTATTGCTTATCCAGACTAAGATGCTCTAACTTATTATTTACTCATACATCAACTATATTGATTTAGTAGTTATCAAGATAAAGAATATATATTGATTTCTCTACACTAATATCTTTCTTTTACTTTCAAACGAGAAGTTGTGGGTGTGGTTTCCGGGGTCTGTCTATGCTGTAAATTGTGTGCTGCACCACAGTTTTTGTATTTTGTTTTCCGGAACAATATAAACAAAGATTACGAAAAGATTCTTCTTGTTCCGTGTTTCAGTATGTACAGGCAATCAATATCATAGTTGAACATTGTGCTTATTTGACGTTGTTAAAGCAGAAACAGAGATCTCTAGGAATATGACGAATGGGAGAGATTGGTGGGAGCTGTGTTGCAGCTAGAGTAGGATCGGGTAGTGGCCCGAGCCGATTAAAGAAGCACAAGCTCCAGTTCCATTTCCATTTCCATATCATTGGATTTTGTTCTGTTTGTGTTTAGAAAATGTTTAGCTTTTCCGAGAGAGAGAGAGAGAGAGAGAGAGACCATTAATAAAATTGAATTATTGATTGTCATTAATATATAAACCACCCTAAATTATATAAGTCGAGAATTGAAAATAAGATAATAATATGATGATTTGAAATCCAACACATACATCGCATAGATTAGTTCAAAAATATTTTAATTAATTAGTAGATTAGTTTAGATATAATTAATAAATCATTTTTGTGTTACTTTAAATTCCAGTTACTAACGAGTTGAAATAGAATTCATTTAAAAGTCTATTACTCGTGTGACAATACGTTTCCTATTATATTATTACTTGTTAAAGATCTCGTACACTTAAGAGTTTTATCCGAATATAATCCTAGACGTTATGATGTATAAATGTAATTAGTAAAATTGCATTGTTGATAAGAATGAGAATAATTTAAGCAACGGGACAAAAGATCCGAAAAGAATACAAGGGAAGTGGTCATTTATCACTATATTAAACTAATCATAATTCCCTAATCAAAGTTAATTACGTCACCACCACGTTGCAATATTATAATAATAAAGTTTTGTAATTACTTACGCATTTGCTTGCTCGCCCTTTATTAAAAAATACGATTGGTGAAAGTTATGGCATAAATTAGTTATTATGACAAGTTACTTTAAAAATGACCATTTTATTTAAAATTAAGACAAAAGGAATAACTTGCCTCTATATATATATATATATATATATATATATATATATATATATATATAGAGAGAGAGAGAG